TACCTGTAAAGACATTTTAGATTTTAAACACATCAGCAAACTATACTTTGTAGAATTCCTTAATGGCTTGTTCAAACATTCAAACAACATGCAGCAAAGAAATGAGAAAGTATTCTTGAGTGTATGTAAAGAATAGTAATAAAGAGTTAAGCCTAAACTAAAAAAAGTTTGTTCTTAAAAGTAGCTGACCCTGCATTGTTAGCTCAAAAAATCATGAATACGAAAACAAATACTTTCCCTACAGTCACTAGTTGGGACTGACCTTCATCAGTGAGGGAAACCTCTCCACTGATGGAGTCGATGAAGAACATTTGGCTGGAGGGAATCCTGGGTGTCTGTTCCATCAGTCTGAACCGCAGCTCAGCGTGGGCAGTGTTGCGGTCATCACGATCCAGAGCCTCCACCTGCATGAATGGGATCCCTGGAGACACACGTGATGCAGAGTCAAAAATGTTACATTCTGTATCACAGACGTCTCTCCCCACCACTCAAAGCACATTCATTTTCTAAATGTAGACAAAAAAGGATAGAACATGGGTTGTACAAATCAAGAGGACCAATACCAAAGACACACAAGCAATTAAAGTATGTGTTTTTGTACCCATGTTAAAAGATCATACAGCTAAAAACTGATCTGATTTACATGTAAAAAAAAACATACAGTGCAATAACATCGTCAGCCATTATTAAAAAGTTTGAGAACTGGATTAAGGAAATGACTCTGGTGAGCAATCAATCACTTTTTTTTAATTAAGTAGCACATAAAAACATGATGAGGTTGTTAATGTTAGCTTCAATAAGCTAGTAGTATAGTAGTTCACTGTTATGAACTCATCTTCAAGTCAGATGATATTTCTCTAACCACACAAAGGATGTTTTGTTGGGGGTTTTGTGTGAGTTCTGCCATCCCAGTTTTCATGTTTTTCTAAGTAAAGGGAAAATTAATGAATTAGAATAAAATGCATTTGGAATATTGTACCAGACTCAATGTAATTGCTAAGCCTTGTGATAGTTTGTGAAAACGTTTTTTTTTTAGCATTATCAAAATCTAACTGAGCCAGTTTGCCACGTCATTAATTCTATTAATACTAAGGTTAAAGGTAAATTGCAGTTTCCACAGAAACATTAGGCATGTTTTCCACTATTTACGCAAAATTGAATGAGTTTTTGCATTCATTGTAACAGGACTGGCAAATGTGATCCAGACTGAAAGAAGAGGTTGTGCATCACAATGACATCAGTGCTCAAGGTCCTTGTACCTTTGAGAAGCCCAAGCTGCACGCTGCCCCTCATGCTCTCCTCTATAAAAGTGGGCACATTGTCATTCTTGTCGATGACACACACTTCAACGGTGAAGCTTTGGCGGTGCACTGATGTTCTGAAGGACACCTGCAGTACACACACAAACACACTCTGTAAGTTAGTGCATACATTTCTAGACTAAAGCACATAAAGAATGTTCAAACCTAATTTCTTATGCAAATATGCGCATAACAGAATAAAGGAATTTGTGACAACCATTCATCAGCTAAGACATGTATGGGAAATTGCTATCATGATGTGATATGCTACCTGCAGAGAGTAAGACGGCTGTTTCTCTCTGTCCAGCGGTTTCAGAGCATACAGAAACTGAGCGTCGACTCCGAATATTCCTTCATCATCCCCTGTTACCACCAGGTCACTGTAATTACCTGGCAGACTATGGAGCTGAACAAAACAGAACAAAATACATAAAACATCAATTTGTGTTACTCTTTAAAAGCAAGCCACGTGCACACACAATTAAGTATAAGGGGGACTGGAGCAGGAGGGTAGTTACTGTAGCCGTCAGTGATTTGATTTCAAGTCCAATTCAGACTTAAGAAGAAAATACTTAATAAATTAACTAATTACAGTAAACAGAGCATGAATGAAACATAAAATGAAACATAAATGTGTACTTTTTATGTGTACTGGTAATATTTGCTTACAAAATTAAAATACAAGCAAGACTGTTTCATATAATACCTATTTTGTGGTTTTGTGGTGAAAAGTCACATGTTCAGTTAAAACACTCAGTGTGGTGAAGTGTTGACTAAGAGACACAATAATACAGCGCCTATAATAGCTGCAGCTTATCTCCACTTGTCTCACGCCTTAAAGGATGAGTCTGGTGATATTTTATATACAGTAGTTCTTACTTTAGTCTTTTTAAGGGATTTGTTGACAGTAAAAAAAATATATAGGGTGGTGTCATCTTCATCCTTTGAAGTCCCCCTCCATTCAAAAATATGTTTTTGGTTTTGTTCCTAAAGTTGTGGTAAATGTTTGAGCTTCACTGTGCAGAATGATTTGTCTGCAGAGTTTAACACTAGAAGGATGTTTTACATTCATCTGCTGAAAGTGGAAAGTTTCTCTGTGTGGATTTTAAGGGGGCAGGATTTCTGACTTGATAAATAGGCTAATTTAGAAGTCAATCCCAGTCCAATTTACAACTCATACAAGTGTGATGTAGAAACCTGACTCAGCCAGTGCACATACACTGAGAGTGGACTTTAATGTGGGAATGATACTTTTTGGAGAAGAAATCAGACACACATTATTGTTCCAAGCAGATGATTTGTATATATCATAATTCATGTCAGAAGGGGATCTTAAAAGTTTGCCAGCATCCTACCACACAACTTATCTGATGCCAAAATTAGAATTATAACAATCCTACGATTCTATATTACTTTTCAGAAAGGCTCAGCCTAGAAAAGTAGACATAAGGTTCAAATGTTTTTAATCCCTAAATCAAGGTCCTTTTCAAGGGCCAGTGTGTCTAGCAGTGAAGTTGCAAGCTAGTCGGAAAAACGATGATGGCCGTGAAAGGCCCTAACTGCAGCCAGTGTTTGTCTGTTCTGGGCCACTATAGACACATGGCGGTTCAACATGGCGGACTCTATAAAAGAGGGCCCACTCCCTCTGTGAATAAAAATGGCTCATTCTGAGGTTACGGAAACACAATGATTCTCATTTTCAGGTCATTATAGTCCAATAGAAACATAACTATGAATATCATATTCAATTTCTGCCAATAGATCCTCCTAAATGTTGGACACCGCTCGAGCTTTAAAGCAAAAATATCTCAGGATCCAAAATGTCTACCTTTAGAGCCAGTGGTGTGTCTGGGCTGGCCATTTACAGTATTCACAGAAAGATGATAGAATAACTGACAAGTACAGCCCTCTCTCATGAACAGACCATAATGAAGCACTTTTACCTTGAACAAATCTGGAGCAATTAGTATGTCTTTTCCATTTATAACAGAAAGTGGGGTTATTATCCAACTCCTCCATTCTGGCCATTAACCTGCTATTTGAAAAGTGTTAATGGCACCAATTTCAGCACAAAGACTGAAAATATGACTATGTGTCATACAAGATGTGCTGACGTCACAATACAACCAATTAAAGTGCCAGATACTCATGCTGTAGCACAATCCAGAGGATGTCTGAATGACATGTATGAACAAAACACCCTGCCTGCTACCCAGCTGGACTGAATGCAGAGGCTGGGTCTGATGCATGAAAAGCATTGTGAGCACTCTAATTATAGTCTAGTGATGACGGCAGCGTGTTCATACACATCACATCTTCAAACTTAAGAGAAGATGGGAAAGAGAAAAAAAGAGACTGGTGAAATTATGGCTTACTATCTACCTTCATGTTTCACAGAGCAATCATGGTCTTTTCACCACTTTAATCTAGAAGGAAATTTAGTAATTAAATGAGAGAAAGATCACTCTCATGAGCAAGATTTTAGACCTTTCCAACTGTTGTTGATGCTCGTTGAGTTGCTGTCTGCATCTCAAATGACTATATGTATTACTGTGTATAAGAAGACTTTCACCTCTAATGTCTTATCAGAAGGCTGTGAGAGTAAGAAGAACACTTGTTTGGTGAATTGAAGTAAATTGAAAAGCCTTACCTTGGCTAGATACCATGGGAAAATACCATCATAGTTTTCAGGGACACCAATTTTAACATTTACCCCAGAGCATGGTGCAAATGTGTGAAGTATCACCAACTGCAAAGACATTTAGTGACACTGTTGAGGCAGTTTGCTCTCGTACATGAACAAAGTATGACGCTTTAAGACTAATAAAAAACATCTTACTGTAAGAGCTATGATGAGCATTCGTGTAGTTCCTGTGTCAGCCATGTGTCCCTGTAAATGTGGCATATTCACAGCATTTCAAACCACATGGCCTCAGCCCAACAATCAACACAATTTCTGTCTTGTTACTGATTCACTAACATAGAATTCCTTCATACACTCATATTTCACAGTTCTTATGTGTCCGACAGTCTGATTATCAATGCATAACCACCTACAAAGCTGTTTAAAGCAACATCTGAGCCCCCACTGTAGTCAGGCGTAACGCTTTTGTCTATTAAAATCAAGTTAGATGCAAAGATTGTGTCACTTTACTGGAGCCTTAATGTCTGTTGAATAGCTTTTAAGTATACATTGCTTTTTTTACCAATACCAAATCACAAAATCCCATGCTATGGCGCAGTGTACAAGTAACAGTATACTCTTTATACTCCATTAACTACAATCCAAGCCTCTAAAGTACAACAACACATTTGGGTATACTGTTGCTGTATAGTAGATGATGGCAATGATAAAAGATGGCAAAATAGTACCATGATTTAAGTAGCAACACCATTTTAAACTAACTGTTTTGAATCTTACCTTCTCCAAATGATGTGTGTGCTCCGAGAGCTGTGAAAGGAGTTTAAATTGGGTGGAAAAATTGTGTACTTGTACTCCTTTGGTGGATTAATGGTTAACACGTTCAGAAAAACATGCTTAACTACCTTGTTTCCTTCCTGTGAAAACCAATGGCCAGTGAGGTTCCATTTAACTGATAAAATCAAATGAATATCCATGAGGATGTAAATCATCTGAACAACATCTACTTATTTTCTGCTGCATTCTGTTGAATACTTTAGGAAAAAGGACAGAGAATATTTGATTGATTTGATTTTATATTTTATTGAAAAATGAAATCAACGTAAACAAAGAATTTCCAAATGATGTCAAGGTTCACAAGAATAATATAACTTATTGCTTTACTCATACATTCACAACCTGAATTCAGTGTTATGGAACAATATAGAATAGCAGAAGTTTTCTCTCATCTTTGATTTATCCTCAGTAACTTGGCCGAGGCACGAACCTGCGTACCACGTTTCAAGTAAGTATAACTCCAGATGACCTTGTATTGTGATCCTGTACCGTGTCTTTTAGGATAATGAGATGTATGTCACATTCAGCATCATTCATGTTATAATATATACATCTATCCCCTCCGGGAAAGGAGCACAACAATAACCCAACAGCAAGGCAATCTTTGCAACTCATTAGAAATAACAATCCTTTGTGGATTTTTCATACATACTGATCACATTATGAACATGTTTAAGGCAAACAGAAAAAAATGAAAAGCTTCATGCAGGTTATCACCATTATCATGATAATGATATCATTTTAATTAATTAAGTCCTTTCTTTGCTTTTGGTTGGTGTCTAGAAAATAAAAATATATTTCTGTACAGCTCTATTAGTCCTTTAGGGTTAGTGTTAAAACACACACAGCGTCTGGTCTTCACAGGCCAAAGAAAAAATGTCTGTCTGTCCCATTTGTTCCTCAGAGAACTGTTAGGTCATGGCAGGACTTTGACTTCTGCCTAAAAGCCATCTTCTTGTTCTTGCGTGCAACCATGCGGCCAAGAAACCGTTTAGCCTTCTTGCCGATGCTCTCCCTACGCCTGCAGTTGGCCATGCGCCGTGCATTCTCCTCCTTGCTGTCTTTCCTCAAGCGGATCTGTCTGACTATGCCCTCAAATAGGTCCTGCACATTGTGGTGAAGGGAGGCAGATGTCTCAATGAATTTGCAGTCGAATACCACTGCGCAGGCACTTCCCTCTGCAATAAAGGAACATGAGGAGAAAGTAGAATTAGTACTTTTAATAGACAGTACATTAAGAACACAATAAGGTAGGGGTAGATTTTAAATGGTATCCCTAGATAGCATAAATTAGCACTAAGTGATAGTAGTTTTAGAACTGTGGCACGTAGCTGTAGTTTGCAGTAGGCCGAGATTGAACCTGAGCAGTCAAGTGAGAAATGTGACCTGACCTTACAAAAGCCAGTCAAGCCCAGCCAGTTCTGTCAGATTTGATCACAAATAGCTTCAAGAATAGCTTTTAAGCTTCAAATGATAAATATTATATTTTTATAAAGTAACCAAATTTCACAACCCACTACCCCCTAAGCTTAAAACTGTCTGTGGCATATTTAAGTTTCAAATGTTAGCTAATCATACTGACTTACCATCTACAGACACCTCTCTGGACCGCACCAGGTCACTCTTGTTGCCCACGAGGATGATGGGAATGTTCTCTGACTGCCTGGCCCGGCGCAGCTGAATACGCAGCTCTGACGCCTTCTCAAAGCTTGATTTGTCTGTCACTGAATACACGATGATGTAGGCGTCTCCCATCCTCATGCACTGTTCCTTCAGCCACTGGCTGTTATCCTTCAGGAAAGAAACAGAGTGAGATTAGCATCATACATGGCTGATTCCATCTTTCACTAATGTAATATCCATGAATCAATGTAGATGGACAAATAATAAATAACTCACCTGCTCCCAGATGTCATACAACACAATTGATGCCTCTTCTTCATCCACCACGATAGATCTGTCATAAGTGTTTCCTGAAGAGAAAAAAAAAAGAAATATTATGTTACACACTGACAGAGAGGAGCAAAGCATATCTTATCTGAACAGTTGTGTTTGTTGTCAGTGTGTGTTGTTGCTCTTCTTCACACTGGTTCTAGCACATTCTTTTTCTTCTGTAGTCTGCACATTGAAGAAGAAAGTTGATCACAGCCTGTGATCAAGCCAGCGCTGGCCTTTTATATTTCCCCTTCACATTATGCTATTGGATGTGTTTCTGACAGCTGTACTACTGAGGGCAGGGCTGGTGCCTCATTGTTGATGGAAATAGCAATAATCAATGCATGTACACTCCTGCGTGCAGAAATAAGAACACTGTTGTTTTTCTAATCCATCAGCCAAACTTTATGACTGTAGTCATAGATAAACATAAATCTGAATTCGAGAGCTTATAAAATAATCCACTTCTTCATTATTTTTAAATGTGTTTTCATGTTTGAGCGTTGTTTCTTTTTAGAGGTTAAGGTTGGGATTATTCAAAAAGTAGAAAGCAGCCTCCTGTTTGTTAATGCTTAATATCTCATAAGTGCATTTTATTAATTGAACCTTGTATATTCAAGCATAAATTGGTAACATAACTGTATAGTGTATTGTTCAGTATTAACCTCTGACAGTCCAAATTATCACCTGCACTCTCATAGGCAATGGAAATCTCAAGTGTATGTGTGGGTTGCTATAGGTTGATGACTCATCCTCAGCATCACCATTTACCTGCTTCATCGCAATCGTGACCAGCATCCTCAACTCCTCCAAAGACGCGCGCCAGGCTGGACTTGCCAACGCCGTTCTCCCCGAGGAGAACCACCTTGTACACCTGGGACTCCGCTTCGCTGCCGGTGGAGATCACGGAGTCGGAGGAGTCCGACGCGCAGCTTCCTCGGTGCTGCTCGGTCGGGGAGTAGGACGTACAGCGCAGGAGGTTCGACAGCTCGTCGGTCTGCCCAGTCTGTGGCATCGTGGCGCGCAGGTCCCGGTCGTCCACGGGCATGCTTCTCCGGTGTAGGTTTGGTAGATTCATGGGGAACGGCATGCTGCCTCTTCTCTTGTCCATGTTCCGCAATTTGTCACCCTTGTTGAGAGTCATTGTGTTTGTACCGATGATCTGGAGATAGATGTGACACGCGTAAATTGGTGCTCTTACGTCCAATCACATTTAAAGAGGCATAAAAGAAACGTGTAGAAGTCTGTACAGGGATGCACTGGAGGATAAAGCCATATTTTAACATAATTGTAAGTCATGTTGTAAAATTAAAACATCTATTAGGGTTTCTGAAATGTCCAGACCACATGTTTATCCAACTCTACTCAACATAAAAACACAGAATAAAACTACATTTTAAAATGTATCATCATTGTTAAAGACACTTACTCGGTGCTGGGAATTAAATCGAACGAAGGCAATCCAATAATCCTTGGTTTGAAGAGTTGTTGTAGCCCGAAAAAGCCGTTTTGCTTGAGTCTGATCAGAGTCGGTGCTCAGTCTATTTATATGGGACTGGGAGTGACGTCGGCAGGGATTCGCCCCGGAGAATCACGTCTCCTCTTATTATAGTGGTGCGTAACGGTAACATCATACAGTGGAGGGGGTATGACTGGAAGAGCTGAGGAATCTCCCTTCCGCTTCGCCAAATGGAGAGCTTACCTCTGAGGGGGCGGCCAAAGATGAATCCTTGAAGAGGGGAAGCCCACTTAAAGCTGGAGTGATATAAATATTTAATATCAATTTTAGAGAGATAAATTTAGAGATGGTGGAAGGATGTCTACATGGTGAAAGATGTTAAGGTGTATTGTCATGGAGCGCAATCCGTAGACCAGATGAATGCTTTTATGCAGATTTGATCGCCTATCTTGGTTAAATTGATTATTAGTTTTGAGGTTCATGGTCACTGCAAGGTGGAGGTCATTGCTACAATTAAGGAATATCAATGCACAGGGGGGAGAATTAGCCTATAATATGTGAAATATTTGTTATCTAGTCTGTGCAACCTAGGCCAACATCACAACTGAATTCTAAATCTGGCTGTGAAAATGCTGTAAACACATAAACATTCTAGGCACGGTGGCGTTCATTGATCATGCACCCCTCGCTTTCCACCCACAACCTTACTCTCTGAAAAATGAAGGCTGCAGTCCATAACTCCTTGCATTTGCAGTTGTAATTCTTCATAGCAGAAAAACCTGACCTATGCAATAATGTCTGGTTTTACTGATCCACGCCTTCCCTAAACAATGGAAAATGCTTTACATTGAAAATATCTGCGTAAAACACAAACTGAGGCAATCTCGTTATACTGTCCAAATGAAGCCTGAATCAGGTTTCTTTGTTTTGCTTCTGCATGTGTTTTTATATTTAATCTTGCATCCAGTATATTTTACATTTATTTTCTCGCACACAATTTAATCTACAACATGAGTTGCTACAGGCAGAATGTCATTTTCCTGTTTATATCATAGTACTGTATGATGTGTTGCAGCCCCCTTGTGGCTTTAGATGGCGTAGGTGTGTCCAACATAATATTGTATTTTCTGCTTTGTCCCTATGGCGGAAATATGAATAGATCAACAATACGATAATAAACAACAAATAATCATGTTATGTGTGTTGTATTTTATGCTTTTGATGTAATTTCTTCTGAATGTAATATTTTTCCCAGAATATCTTCTTTTTTTCTGTTTTTGTTTTTTGGTGCAAATCTGGATCAAGTGAAAATCTGAATCTGTCTTAAGAATATGTTTTTTCCCTTGGGTCCACATATTATTCAGACCTGAGTAGCTTATTGAAATACTTATACAAATATTTTTGCCTAAATACTAATACTATTACTCAGAGTATGTAAAAATTCTGACCACACACTTTCCAACATTAGATCAGATTTGGGTCAAACATTACTCGATTTCTCAACAGAATATAAATGTTTGTATAAAAGGTAAATATCATAAGGGCTTACTCGGTTTATTTGCAGTTCAATGATCACTTCTAATGTAGGCCACCTTCAATGTGAGTGTTCCCAAAGTGCAATGTCAAAGTTAGTGACACTGCAAAATCTGTGTTGGCATCTTTGGCATTTTATTTGTAAAATAATTTAAATGTGTGACTGGTACATATAAAGCACATCTGCCTTACTGGATGTGACAGTCAAGGCAGATAACAGCTTTAAATATTCACATTCAGCCAGAGTAAATAGGACTGCTTCTGCTGCTGCAAATTATTCTCTGTGTTCACAATCTCTTAAGAGACACCAATCAACAAGAATGGGCATCACGATAGGTTGAAATCATTGTACAATTCAAGGGAACCTTAAACTGCACAGTCTTGTTAACATTGTGATGTATCCCTTTACAGTAAAATGCTCACTGGTTTACATGGCAAACAGAATAAGGAATGCAACCATCAAACAGAAAAGACCCATAGCTTCAGACAGAGCAAAGCCCAAGATGGCGTAAGAGAACAGCTGCTGCTTCAGAGATGGGTTCCTGTTGAGAAAGAGAGAGGCAGCTGAGACAAATTGGAGGTACAAAGTGTTAAATGTACAACTGCCAAGACATTTCAATGAGCAGACAATCCTAACATCTTCCAAGGTTCCCCGTTAAGGACTTGATACTTGTGACCAAATCATTTTATCAGTAATTGTAAGGCATAAAAGCAGCATAAACCCTTGAAAATGTTTAATAATTCTCTTAATACATTTTTACACCCAAAGGCTGCATTACATTCATTTAAATGTAAATTAATAATTTATTGACCATGTAAACATTTGGAATCAAGCCTGTTAGTTTAATGGCTATTGCTATTAAAAAACAACCATCTAATGAAGAAGAACCACAACTTTAAAATCATCTTTCCAACAAACTAAACAGATATTAACTGACAGGTTTATCTGACAGCGCTGACAGACCATGATGGGCAACATCCCCTCCTTGGAAGATAAATACAAATGAGGTGAATTACCTAATGGCCATTATAAATACAATGATATAGATGTAGATTTTAGCCTGACAGCCTATTTAGCTCATAGTCATATTTAGTTAATTACTAACTAACCCTTTCTGCAGGCTATTTGACAAATAGACAGTAAATTAGCTTTGTGAATCACATTTTCTTGATAATGTTGATTCAACGTTTGGGTAATTTTGGAGGCTTTAGGCTCTGGTATACCGGATATAATTATATAAGTCTATATTTTGATCATTTGTCCACTTTATCTGTATGGAGGAATACATTCCGTTTGCAGGCAGTGACAGCAAAGGGTCCTTTAAACCTGCTGTCCCCATCTGGGCTGGGTAGAGAAGCGCCCACATCAGGAAACCGGAAGTCCTCCTCTTACGGTGACACTGCGCACGCGTATGCCTCTTGCGTCTTCGACCTCTACTACAAACGGTGAGAGCTAACCTCCTCCGCCACAAACTGTGCTTGTGTTAAACATATAAACGTGACACTTGTGCGTAACTCGGTGTCTCTGTAGCTCTTTTTGACCACCGCACTGCCGACGTCGTCTGATCTTTTTCGACTCGCTTGTGTTTTAGCGACATTGCTCGGCTTGCAGCTAATCTTGACCTTACTCGTGTGGGTCCATTTCACTTTGCACGCTTTGTACTTTACTATTCAGCGACCCAGTGACACTGTCAGCTAACTCAAGGTGTCCATTGTTGTGTTTCACGTCTTGTTTTTTGTTACAGATCGCAGACACTGAATCAACGCCAGCTCCTTTGGTTGACCTGACCGCTAAGTCCCTTCGTAATGTATGCCTGTGCTAAGTTCGTCTCCACGCCCTCTCTGGTGAGTCTTAACGTGAATGAATGGAGATAGCAGTTACATGTACTTGTCCTGTGTGCTGTAGTTTGTAAAAGAAAGAAAGAAAGAAAGAAAGAAGAAGAAGCTGTCATTCTGTGTTCAGGACAAACAACCAGCTGCTTTAATGTAGCCTGCTAACACTGGCAGGCAGCTATGTAGCCGTCTGTGACCCTCTGCCAAAGTCAGCCGGTGTTCACACATTGCAAGGGCGTCCTAGCTTTGAACAATATGAGGGTTAAGCTCAATATATGCATTAAATCCACGTGTGAAACAGTTTATCCACCCTTTGAAGTTAATATAGTCTTTATAATGGATATATAATATTGAGAAGCAGCCATATTCCAAGTTGAATAATTGAGCTGTTTGAGCAGAATTAATCCAAAACAACACTTTAATAGGTCTCTGTTGGTGTAGCCACTGCTGGATTTTAGCTGTAGTTTGCCAAATCTACTACAAGCCAAATGTCATTGTAGGTGAGGTGGCATGCTTTTGAGCAGAGTATGTGTATTCTGAGCAAATTGAAAGATACACAGACAGATGTTCACTCAAAGACTTTTTTTTTTTCTTTACTTGGATCAGGTCCGTGCTGGATCTCGGGCTCTGTACAGACCACTCTCTGCAGCAGTAGTCTCAGATGCCAGGAAAGCAGAGGTAAGCTGCTATATGTACTGATACTTATGACTTATGATTTTATTGATTTTGATTGTCCACAGAGAGGCACTTTGAAGCTTTCTCAATTCCATTAATCTCATTTGCTGTTCTCATTACCTAATTTCTCACATACAAAGAGGGACTCGAATAATAAAAGATATTTGAAACTTCCTAATGCATTTTAAGTACATTTCAAAAATGTTAAATTTCAAGGTAAGGTTCAAGATAGGGCTGGCAATATGGCCTAAAATACTATTTTAACAATTTGAATCATTTTTATTTTTCATAAAAACAAACTACAAAAGACACCATTATGTCCTGGTGTGCTGTCTTCTCATATGGAATAACATGGGCAAATTATTCTGCATGTTTTGTGTAGATGGGTGACTTGGGGCTTGTTTTACAGAATCCTTCGCAGCTTTATACCCTTGCATTATAACAAATATCACTGATTGCATCTTTAATATCATTGTTTGTAAAAAATTAAAAAAAACAAAGAAATAAAAAAAAACGTGTTGGTGCTGTTTTGTTTTGTACCAACCTGACTTTATTTCTGTATTTCAGACTGCTTCACTCCTGGCACCACAGAGTATTTTAGCCTCCCAGCAGCAGGTGGCAGTGCGGGGGTTCCAGACTAGTGCTGTGAGCCGTGACATCGACACTGCTGCAAAGTTCATTGGAGCAGGAGCTGCCACTGTGGGAGTGGCTGGATCTGGAGCTGGAATTGGAACGGTGTTCGGTAGCCTTATTATCGGATATGCCAGGTAGATTAAACACATCACCTGTTGTTTTAGAACTATTTGTATTTATCTTCCAAGGAGGGGCTGTTGCCCATCATGGTCTGTCAGCGCTGTCAGATAAACCTGTCAGTTAATATCTGTTTAGTTTGTTGGAAAGATGATTTTAAAGTTGTGGTTCTTCTTCATTAGATGGTTGTTTTTTAATAGCAATAGCCATTAAACTAACAGGCTTGATTCCAAATGTTTACAGGGTCAATATATTATTAATTTACATTTAAATGAATGTAATGCAGCCTTTGGGTGTAAAAATGTATTAAGAGAATTATTAAACATTTTCAAGGGTTTATGCTGCTTTTATGCCTTACAATTACTGAAAAAATGATTTGGTCACAAGTATCAAGTCCTTAACGGGGAACCTTGGAAGATGTTAGGATTGTCTGCTCATTGAAATGTCTTGGCAGTTGTACATTTAACACTTTGTACCTCCAATTTGTCTCAGCTGCCTCTCTCTTTCTCAACAGGAACCCATCTCTGAAGCAGCAGCTGTTCTCTTACGCCATCTTGGGCTTTGCTCTGTCTGAAGCTATGGGTCTTTTCTGTTTGATGGTTGCATTCCTTATTCTGTTTGCCATGTAAACCAGTGAGCATTTTACTGTAAAGGGATACATCACAATGTTAACAAGACTGTGCAGTTTAAGGTTCCCTTGAATTGTACAATGATTTCAACCTATCATGATGCCCATTCTTGTTCATTGGTGTCTCTTAAGAGATTGTGAACACACTGATGTATGAAACTGGCAAACCCAAATCATTTTTAATGATTGCTTTGCCATTTTATTGTATATTTAGTCAAATGTTTTTGTTAACAACATGCAACCAATAACAGAAGTAAAACCTGTAATTCATCATGTGTATTTGTACATTTGTTAATAGTAAATGGTAATGGGTTTATTTAGGTTTGGGTTATGTTTGTGCATTGACTGAGATTCAGACTAAAACTAAAGCAAAAAAAAAAAGAGGAAATGCTACACAAAATGTAGAAAAATTAAAACCGGAATAAAGAATAGCACAGTCCCATAACAGCCACAGCTCAAGTTTTAATATCGCTTGTGATATGTCTCTTTAAAGCTCGAATAGACCCAACATGATGGTCAGTTTCTGACATCCAGGAAAGATGCATTTGCAGGACATTGAAGGAATACTGTAGCTCGATAGCAAATACTGTAGCTAGTAACCACAACTCTTTTAACAACTCGCAAACACAGGACAACCACCGATGCTAATGCACATTTGTATAGTGTTCTAGTGTTAGGGATAGTATGTGAAGTGTGGTGCCAGTGCATAAAGCCATAAAAACTGGGTTTAGGATTTTTTTACTGGGTCCACAGTTTTCAGCAGCTATTTTCTAACATGTTACGGTTTAGAGAGAAATCTCTGAATTGCCTTTACACAGACCAAACTAAATCTGACTAGCTAATTCCCTAAATTAGAGTTTGCACGTGTAATGATGCAATGTGTATGTTACTCCACAATTCATTCACATAGTGTTCCCTACGTAAACCTAAAGAGAAAATGTCAAACCTTTATTTCACCAGTTTCCCAGCAGCTGTTCTTCATATAGTATTGCTATGATCCCAGAGATGTTCTCTATCTGCCTGAAAGTGTTGACCTATAGTGGAAACAACATTTCCAGCAAATTGTAGGGAAGAAGAGAAGAGTGGAGCCAGAGAACAGACAGGAGAAAAAATAAAATAAAGCTCATAACTCACCATTCAGAAACGTCTTGTTGCAGTCTACATTGAACAACTTCTTCGCTAGCTCCTTCTTGTTCAGGGTCTGACTCTGGTTCAAACATATGGTTGGTTTCTTCCAGCTGTCATCTTTCTCCCAGGGTTCACGTTCAACTGTTGCCATGGTAGCGTGACAACAGTGGGTGGATTGCCTGTGTCTCATTTGCATTTAAAGAAACAGGCACTCAAAACCAGAGCGCTCAGAACAGGGCTGTTCTTGCAGGGTGATTGAACTGCTATTGTGCTTCATCCTTACGGTATTTTGACCAAAGCATGTGACAGACATTACGTTAGGACACCAGGGAACTAGGTTAACTTGTTGAAATAGGGTATAATATGACTCCTTTACCTGAATCGCAGGTGTCACCCCAGGGAAAAAAAAAACATTTCCCATTTCACTTTCCCATGGGAATGATACCTATTTGTATTTCATCAGAGTGGAACTGTCTGTGCAAACAACGTCCTGTTGTCATGAACACATTTAAGTTAAATGCATGTGCACTTTTCTTCTCCACTGCTGCTGTCATGTTGTGTGCACTCAAACAACACGCCACACACCCTAACTCATTTATCTTTGCACTTTCATCTTACGGTAATACAAAAATGCAACAACACATTGGAAAAGCCCATTTGACACCGCATTTAATCATGAAAAGCATCGATATCGGCGATTCTGGCCTTGTATTACCTGGTATTTATAACAATATAACTATATAATCAATAAACATATCTTAAACAAACTGTCACATTGCTTCCTTATCCAGTTAGCACCTCTTACAGTCATTGTTTTGAAGAGGCATCAAGGAATGGTACACTGATACACTTATCACATAATTAATACCCGAATACTCACAAGATAGTCAGCAGGGCGGTTTGTTAGGCGGAACTAAAGGAATACAGTCAGAGTTCCGGCCGGACGGATTTGAATACAGTATGCGTACCGGAGCTTCATGACTTATGAAAGAAACAGAACAGTTGTGAATATAAGTAAAGTTATGTAGTAAAAATAGAGAACCTAATGTCTAAATACATGTTCTCAATACTCCCGTTTAACAGTACGTGGAGGACCCCACTGTGGTGTCTGTGGCTGTGTAGCTGCCACTCTGGTCCCGATGCTGTTTCACTACTGAACGAGCGAAAAGGAGCCCGGAATAAGCAGGTAAACAAATACAGGAGAATCTGGATAATATACAGCTAAGATATGCAAACTGTATGTTTTCTTGTTCATCACTTTATCAGATGTGCAAACGTTGCAATACATGGTAGAAATATGTCAGTATAGTAGTGGACCATTTTCATTTTGAACACTATACTATCATTACAGAAGATCTTTGAGTGTGGCCCCACTGTTAATGGTCTGGCCCTTCAAAGCACAATCAAATATTTCTTCATCCAAAACACAATCACTGTGGGGACTTACTTGGTCAGTTATTACCCACAGTCCAATTTCCCATTGCATGGATACTGTGTGAGAAACTTAAGTATTCCAAATTATGTTATCAATAATATTGGGGCTGCACAATTAATTAGAATATGATTGAAATCGCAATATGGCCAAAAGCAATATCCGTAGAAGCTGCACTATTTTGATTAAGGTAAAATGTGAGATAGAGCTGCATTATATATAAGTACTGTAGTTCTACAGAGATCTACAAAACTTGTTGCCCAGATGTAAGTTAATTTGTTTGTTTGGTACCCAGACCTTATCAGATGTGACAACATCATGATTTGTATAGGATTTCAGTGAAAATCCATCATCCCCTCTAATAGTGAATCATATAGTCGCAATATCTATCAAAATAATGGCGACATGATTTTTTTTTACCATTTTGTGCAGCCCTGAATCATCAGCTTCCAGACCAACAAAGTTAAAATCATCTTTTAACTTGTGTTTACTGCAGCCACAAACAGCAACTGGAAATGGCACAAACAACAAAAGGCACTGGCCGCATAAGGTCAATAGAAATACTGTATTATATGAAAACCATGGCTATTTAATCTGGCATGGTTTATGGATCTGTCATGTACAGTCAGATTTTAGCCATGTAAGGTCTGCAACTCATTATGCCTGCATTAATTCCTAACAGGATGGATTTTACACTCATTATCCACCAGGGGTAGTGCTTGTATAAGACATACACAGCATTTATTAAAGCCAGGTCCAGGAGTATGACGGGAAAATCCACCTTAAACTAGAAGGTATATATTACTCTTCTAGGGGTTTTACTCAATGAACTATTAACCCCAAAATTAGAATTTCTAGACTTGAATTGTTATTGACTAATAACTATACTTTTTTATTTTGGTCAATCTTTACTTGATATTTACTCTTAATACTGTGTCGATTTAGGTCTAAAAGATTTTAACATGAAAACAACACACAGCTTTGAATCAGCAAATGTCCCCATGAAATTAACTGAGGGGCAGTCAGAGTTTACTCTACGATTGCTGTCTTATTTCGTGCCTCTCCAGGATTTATCTCTAGACAGCATTTTCACTACAGTCTGTTTGTAACAGGTCACAAAATTGCACAAAAAGAAAAGATCTTCGTGTCAACCAGTACTGGATCACTTTGACCAGCAGTACAGTCAGGAACTTGGAGACTTGTGGCCATCTGCAAGGTAAATTGTGTCTGAAATATTTATTGCAGCCTACACACAGACAGTATGTGTACCCTTCCTTAATTGGGATTGCTTTACTCTCTTGCAGGGCAGTGCTCCTGGACCGTCACTCTTGGCAGTATGGGGTCATGCTCAACCGCTTCAGCACTGTGACAGACATCACACAGACCCTCCAATCCCAGGGTTTTTCCTTATTGCTGCCACAAACAAATGTCTCCACATTGCTTTGTAATGGCCCCTCGACAATTTTAATTTCTAAACACCAGGCAAGGAAAGACTCACTGTTGCCACCTCAATACATCTCTAAGTGCTCCCCTAATGACTCCTACGTCCAACCTGAAAGCCCCTCTCATGCACTCGGTCGGGACCTTCAATCCGAGGCACTCAGTTTGGCCTGTCCTTCATTACAATGTTACATCCACCCGTATCCACTGCGGTTTCCCTCTCAGGCTCACAGGCCTGGCCAGCTGAAGCAGTATTACCTTCTGAATGCTGCCTCCCTGCTTCCAGTGCTGGCTTTACAAGTCAGAGATGGGGAGAAGGTTTTGGATCTTTGCTCTGCTCCTGGGGGCAAAGCCATAGCCATATTTCAGTGTGCCACCCCAGGTAAACAAGTACTTTAAATGGAATTTGCAAACTTTTATTGGATTTTTGTCATGCAAAGAGGTAAAAGATTGTGTTTAGGGTGCACTGCTTAATGTATACATCAAGTTATAACTTAAAATAAAATGTTAAATACTGGCATTTTATAATGCAAACTTTTCAGTTTAAATAATTCAGAATGTTTACTTTTAAACATTGTCATATGTCCCTGTATCATTTTGCCCAATTTACTATTAATAAATATTAATGCTTATTCTTAATTAGATTAAAATGACCACAAATCATAACTTACTGTACTAGTAAAGGGATGTTGACAGAACACCAATTTACCTTTTCTAGGATAGCTTTTCATAAAATTATTTTATTGAAAATTGGATTTAAATATTAAAAGTGTTCTTTTGTTGCACTCAAATCTGAGGATTTTTTATGTCTGCTGTGAATAGCCTGTTTGCATTGAATACTGGTAATAACTAACTCTGCCCTTTGTTGTGTTCCAGCACTTATCTGCTGTAATGAACCAGACCCACACAGACGGGACTGGCTGGCCAAAACTCTGGAGTCTTTTGTGCCTCACTCACTAAACAGCAGAGTGATTGTGTCTGCACAGGATGGACGGTCTTTTGGGCAAAGAGAAGCAGGGACATATGACAAGGTGGGGAGAGTCATGTTTTTGGCAGCGTGTGATTAAATGTTTCTGCAGTGTCCAACCAATTCAGGTGTCGCACTTCTCTTTCAAGGCCGTGGTTTAAAATGAATGAGAACAGTGAGCCTTTGAACAAAAGCTAATAAGCCCAGCGGAAAAGAAGAAAACCGTTTATTCAAAACAGGAGAAAAGAAGAGGCAGACAAATGGCTGGAAGGAATCAAAGTGACTGATAATGGAGCAAAATATTGAAAAAAAAGGGACAGAAGCACGGAATGAAAAGGTTGAGAGTAAGACAGTGTGAACAATGACTGAAAGGCAATAGAGTGGTGCAAACAGACTGCACAGATTCAAGCCGTATTGTGGTAATGATATGGCTTTGTAAAATTTTCATCGAGGACTGAGGTCATCAGTCACCATAATTTGTCTCTTATCTCCTGGTGTAGGGAAAATATAACACATACTCTTTTCATCTGCTTTTAGTTTCATTAGGCTCTTTTAATTTTCTTACCTTCTTGCTTTTCTTCTTTCACCCTTACCGTCTCTCACTGCTATTACACTCTTGAACTCTCTGACTCAGACTCTGAACTGCTCACATTTCTTTCTCTCTCTGTTGCAGGTTTTAGTCGATGCTCCGTGCTCTAATGACAGGACCTGGTTGTATTCTTGCAGCGGCCAGCAGGGGGAACAGAGACTACAGGAAAGAGCCAGGCTGCCTATGCTCCAGGCTCAACTGCTTAGGTAAGCCCTATCCCCAAGCGAAAATAAATGCCAGCAATGTGTCCAAACATTGTAATTAAGCAGATGAGGAATTATAAAATATTTGCCTGTGTTATAAGTTATACACAAAATAAGAACAGCAAAACACAAGAAAAATGTAAATAGTGAATGAAAATGTAGTTTAATTAATCACAATTACAAACAGTGCTATAAAGTGCAATTACATTAGTTTGACTGGCAATTTATATAGTATAAATTATTTTTAAAAAAGTAAATCAGCTCTTTACCATGTGAAGGAACAGAAAATAACCAAGAGAGTTCTATATATGGTGAAATTGCAAAAATAGCAAATTATTTAGTGTGTTGAGGGAGGAGAAACTCGACGTGTAAATGGGAGACCTAAAGTATATACGGGGTGACAATTACTTAATACAACTTAATATTATGCAGCTTTGCAGCAGTGTTTGAAATGGTCATTTAGCCCCTTGTCACAAGGCGCAATATTTGTCTTCTCCCTGCAGGTCTGCACTGTCTGCGGTGCGTCCAGGGGGTGTCGTGGTCTATTCCACTTGCACAATGTCCAGCTCTGAGAACTACGCCGTGGTTGAGACGGTGCTGAATGACTGTCCTGAGGCTGAACCCGAAGACCTGTGGGAGGAGATTGCCATTCCTTTATCAAAATACTTTGCATTTAGTCCTGCTCACCCTGGTCATGGACAGACACTTCACAAGCCATCCCCGCAGCCACAGAATGGCAATGTGTCCTCTTATCACCACAGACTCGGCATTTTAGTGGTTCCTCAGCCTGGCAAGACCTGGGGACCCATGTTTCTGTCTCGGATTAGAAGGAGGAAATAGTCTGTATCATCCTGTGCTGAAAAGATATGTGAAAACAAATGGCTAAATATACACATTTCCTTGGTATGTCGTTTGTTACCTGTGGGTTTTATAAGATGCACAGGATCCCTTGGAACTGGCTTATAACCCACTCACACAAACAAACTTGCTAATTCACCTTTCGTGCACTGCAAACTCTGCACAGTGCCAATTTCGGGAGACAGGTAGATGTAAACATGTCAGTGTCACCACATGCAGGCGGAGAAACAACAACACTCACATCATTCAGTGATTCACTGACCTTCAATGATCTGAGTCAAAGAAAGACTTTCATTTAAAGCAGCTGAAATTTATATATTTATAATAACAATGAATAAAATGACTGTGATAACAATGTGACAGTGTGAAAGGAGTTGCTCGTAGTGATGAACTTACATAGAATTATCACCTGAATCCGCAGGTCCCTGAGCCTTATAAAGTTTATCTCATTGTTTATCTGTCCTTCCCACAACTTTACTGTTTTCGCTCACTCTTGCTGCTCTCGTACCGTGATTTCGGCCACAGCAGGCAGCTCTTTTCAGTGAAAACTTTCTAAGTGAAGAATTTAGCAGCTGAAGAGCCAGATATTTTCCACACGACTTGGTGGTGACCAAAACAGAACTTAAAGAGAGTAAATGTTGGTGTCACCAGGTGGCCAGAAACACGACTTCACTAGTTTAACATATCAGCTAAAGAGATGCTTATAAGTCAATGTTGTGTTGACAACTTTTTTCCACTGCCCCTAAGTAGACCAAAGAAAATCAATAATAATCAGGTTTAATTGTTTTCTTTAAGCCTCTGCAACCGACCCCCTTTTTATTTATTGTTTATTGTTATTATTATGTATTATACATTGTTTATGGCATGGACGATAAGATAAGATAAGATACTCCTTTATTTATTAGGAGAAATTCAGGTTGACACAGAAGCAATAGGGCAGTAGTAGTGCAAAACACAAAGAATATCACAAATAAAAATATTACAAAATACGAAATAAAAAGAAGAACTATACTGCTTCACATCAATAACACTGTGTCCACGTTGTATAATAAAATTGGTAATATATGGTATTATCAATTTTCTTGAAATATACAATCTAACAGAAATATCATTCACATTTTATTCTGGTGTTAGGAGTGAGTGCTTATCTTGAGGGTTTTATTTAAGTTAGTGTGAGCTTTAGTTTCTAAATACTGAATGAGAGAGGACATTACAAGACCTAGAGCATCTCCATCGTCCAAGCCTGAAGACAGTAAATCAGGTTGCTCTCATTAAAGTTTGATTATCTCTTGACTTAAACGATCACTGAATTTTCTATCTTAACACTCTGCCTGATATGTTTGTTTTTAAATATCTAATTGCCATACTATTGAAAATGTTTTCAGACATACTGTATATAAACTTCATTCCTGTCATTCCCTCTCTGCATTTACCTACTCTAAATTAAGGCGTGCTGTAAGTCTCACTATAAGTAATCTTACATCTGTCATCTCACCTCCCTTCAGTATGATTGAGAAGCCAGTATCATCTCTTATAGTGGCTCATTACCTGGCTAGACTGTTCTTGTGTCACGCTTCAGTGAGAAGTAGACTATTTCATGGCAGTCATCAGGCTATGATTGCTCAGACCGGAAGCCAAAGGTGTTTTGAAAGTAACTGTAGACAATAACATTCAAGAATTCACATATTTTTACCTTTTGAACATAACAGACCGACAAAGTACGCTGTTGCAAAGGCAGTTACGTGTGGAAACCATTATTTCTTCCTCCCAAATATATACGGCTGGTGGTTATGAGCGAGCCTATGAGACACTGTCAAGGGCATGATTGCTGAAATAGGAAAGCGCCTCGCACCGGTTTCATCTAACTCCTCTGCGTGGCCATAGACACAAGCATTATTGGGTGCATTTATATGGCTATTTTTATTGGCTGTCCTACTTTCGCTGCACTTCTACGTGTCTTTGAAAAGTAGCTCCAGTCTCTGATACGAGTGCATCCTTACACCACGACGCAACTCAAAAGTAACGAGATGTGGAGATGAAGTGGGGCTTCATTGGGGTTAACCATGTTGCTGACCTTTGTGTGAACTCTGGTTTGTTGATGTTCCCCATATTGCAGTGTTTCCTCAAGGGGAGAATCTCTAAGCAGCTTTTCCTCCACTTCAAAGGGAGAGAATGTAGGCCTGCTTTGCATAATCAGGTGGGGAACAGCTTTTTGCCAGAGAGGCAGGAATTAATTTGTGCCACCGCCAGATGTAATCATTAAAACTCTAGTCATTGACAATAAAGGGGGAGGAGGAGGGGGAAATAGAGGAGAAATTGTTAAACAGTAGATAGAATAAGAAAGAGATATGGAGCAAAATATGTTTCTGAATGCCAGAGGACACTAGCTAAGCAGGCTAATCTTGTCTGAGCTCTGTTAAACCAGAATGACATATTTTTCAGTCTGGATGCATTCAGCTCTGTCCTGACTTCTCTTACCCCTTTACATGTACTACGTTACTATTTCAGTGGTGTACAAAGGGATGAAAACACAACATGAGAAATGATTTGAAATTTAGAAAAACCACAGTTAGCTATACATGTCATGTCAGATTTCGTGGCATCTAGCAGTGTAGCTGATCTTCACTTCACCCTCCTCTACCGATCACGAAGGAGAAACTACGTTGGCTGCAAAACACGCCCCTATCTAGAGTCAGTGTGTTGGTGGACTATATGAAAGGCGACCCTCGACATCTGTAGGGCTCAATAAAAACACGTATATTCTTATATTCAGGTGATTATACACAATTTATAGTTTCTGCCAATATATCCTTCTTAATGTTACACCTTTGAATCTCACTCACAGCTTGTAAATGTACTGTATGGTTCGGTCTCACTGCTTTCATTAACCCCGTTCTCAGCAGCAGGCAGCTGTGAAGCTCTGAAACCCACTGTACTCTAGCTGCTCAGCACCAAACAGCAGACAGATGAAGTAACCCAGTAACTGGTGAAGAATTCTTAATGTTTGTGGGTTATATTTTAGGTAAAACATGTAGCGGATTCATTATTTGTGCTGCAAAAATCCAGACAATAATCGCACTGTCAAACTGATATTTTTTCCCACTTGTAAAAAATGTTTGACACTGAATGTGCCAGACAGGTAACAAGTGGGTCTATAGATTTAGTACCATTTGGGGTATCCATCATTCATTTCAAACGTCCTCATTTGTCAATATTCCATCAGTGGAAGTGAGTAACCAGGATTGCTGCACTTGATTGATTGTTACACAGCTAATCTCTGAGGGGAAGAAAGTCTGCAAAGAATGAATCTTTATAGAGGTCAAGTCAAACTGTTTGTCCATGTGCACACAAAAACTTGATTTTTGTTACTTAGGCTACAGATTTTTACCATAATAAGCGTGTAGTGTAATAAAAAAACATGGACAAGCACACACTCTTACAAAGAAAATGAACAAGCCTGCCAAGAAAATCTGAAGCTGGCAGTCTTGGATCCCTAAGAGAGAGAAAGACATTATGGACTAAGACTAGGCCTACTGACGACCATACACATGGGATGAAATGATTTAAAATAAAAAGCTACCCAAGTCATCATTTTGCTTCTGGCCAGATATATGATGAACTAGCATCAAATCTCAAACCGCCACCTGTGGCACTTCAGAGACGGTACAACTTAATTGTGAGCTTTGGTGTCATGAAACACATGAAAAATAAGCTTTATGTGAGGATTGACTGGATACAGAAAGAAAGATTCCTCTCATGTGTTTTATGACCTGGGGAGACATCAGGTACCATTAATGTCAGTGCAGACAGACAACGCCAGAGGAAAATTAATGGGGACAGGAGTGAAAGTCAGAGTGTAACTGAAACATCTTCAAGAAAAAGGAACGGAACACACATTTTCATCCTATCATCTGTTTGTCTGCCATACACAGACTCCAACTACAAAAGAAACCGGAGAGTACAGAGAAGTAAAGTTGGGTTTTGTTTTGTTTTTTGTTGTTGTTCAGAGACTTAGCAGATAGGGCAGTGATCTAGGTCTATTTCAGAGGATGGTATAATGGAGTGACAGGTGTCTTGGAGGGCAGAAGCAACTTGGATAAAACTGTATATCCAAGTTTCTTCAAAACTTGTCAACAGTTTTAATCTAAAATCAACTACACCAAGAAGAGATGTATTGTTGTTTCTCCTGTGGACCTCTGTGAGCCTCAGCAGCAGCAGGGAAGGAGACATCCATAACTACTGCACGAGAAGACAAAGCACAGGCTTAACAGACTGAAGGCAGGACAGATTACCCCAGCCTGGACGTTCATTCATCCTTTGAGGAAAAGACAGAATTGATCGGGAGATATAAAACTAAAGCCTTGGACAGTCTTGCAGCAAAATTGGATTTGAGAGAGAACTACCAGGTCTTTTCAGTTTTAAGGATCAAGTCATCATTTTTCCACAAATTAAATGCAAATTGGAACAGCAGATCAGTAAAACTGGACATGAATTATTTTAGAATAGTGACTGCTTCAAAGACCAGTGTGCAGGATTTAGCGGCATAGTGTTGTAGTTGTAGATTGCAACTCACTCGTTTCACCCCCACCTTCCAAGCACAAAGGAGAAATACAGTGGGACACGCACAAAAAACTTGAATGGCCCTATCTAGAGCCAGTGCTTCTGGTTACTGTAGAAACATGGAAGTTCAACATGACGGCGTCCATGGAAGGCAACCTGCAGCATCTGTAGATATAAAAGGCTCATTCTAAGGTAACAAAAACATAACAATTCTTATTATCAAGTGATTATATACTAATGAAAACATACCTATTAATATTATATTCAATTTCTGGCAATAGACCCTCCTAAATGTTACACACTGGATCTTTAAACAGTAACTATTCCAACAGACCCCTGCTGAATCATTACTTAATTTTGTCCTCTATGAAATATGCTGAATTTGTATTTTTAGGGGAAAAGTCTATTTATGCTGCCTTTCCTGTAGAATAAAAGCAATAGTATATATATATATATATAGTTTTTCATTTATTAAACAAGAAAAATGACACATACGCTTATTCAATCTTCATGACTGGCCCGGTGAGGATCCTTCTGACAGACAAGGACCAGTGACAGACCTGCAGAGCTGCACACTTGGACTTCAATCAGACTTGATTGAAACTTTGACTGCTGTAATATTTGATTCCATGTCATGATGTAACCTGAGGCTTGAAAGCCCAAATATTCCAGTCTCAAGTTTTGACCTTGTCCAGGACAATAACAAATAAATAAGACATTGTCAGACAGTCCTTGTATAGCCACATCCCATGCATTTTTGTACATATGCATTGGTATTAAAATGACATGGTCCCAATGTAAAAAGACATTATGAACACGGATTTGAAAGCTAAATGTTTAAATATCATGTCGTTTTAATTTAAAAGACCTTGATAATTAGTCTTGAAAAAAATTGAGGCTTGACACTGACTTACCACAAAGATTTAAAAATAGCTCCACCAAACTAATGCAGTTTTATTTGAGATGATTTTCTGTTTTAATTGGAAGTGCTATATTTTAAGTGTGCCATTTCCTTGCAATAGGAAGTATTATAAATACAAGATTCTGCTTCTTAACATTTGATAATTGACCCCTCTCTGTGCCCAGACCACTGCAGGTTCAGTTCAACTTTATGTTGCCATGCTTCATCAGTTTACAGTTATTTAATAAAATCTCTCTCTCATTCCAATACTTCTCATGTTAATTAACTCCATAGCTACAGTTCGTGTGAATTTGATCCTACCTAAAGGAACAACAATCAAGCCATGTGTTAACCCTTGTTTGACCCCTGCATGGATCCCTGCAGTACATGTGCAGAAGAATAAAATGTTCCTCCAGAAACGGTGTACCCAGATTGAGTTGCCTCATCTCAATTTTTACTTAACTTCTGTTAAACCTGCAGACTTCAAACCTTGTTGAAGTGGACACTCTCGAGTGAAGGAAACCATAAATAATAGATTCTTCACCCAGAGGAAAAAAGGGGAAAGGAAGTCAGACGGGAGAGGTATGAGGGAGCTGATTAAAACTAGACAGATTTCACACCAATACTTTCAGTTTAAAACTTCATAAAAACATTAGTGGGGGGATGTTATTCAAAGAATCAAAGAAGTGACACTTCCTCAAATAAAGAGCATATTCACAAAGTGGTTTGAGGTAATTGAGAAATAATAGAGCCCTCCTGGAGCCTACCTTTAAAATGGTAAGATTGGATATTCAATAGTCTATTCATAACATTTTATGTAAGCAAATAAGCACTTACAGATAATATATGTATTATTCATATTCAGCTAGTTGTAGTAGAATGCGTGCAGCTGTAAAGTGTTCCAGGATGTCATCTCGCTCCTCTCAATTTTTCACACCCGTTATTTCTATTTTGATCAAACTTGGGCAGTTTGCCTTTGAGAACCGGCACTGATCCAATTACAC